GCGTGAACTTCCACCTTGGGACCTGCATTTGTGGTATCCGTCACCTATACACTAATCCATCTTCAGTGGAGGCTGGTTTTAGGACTGATTTGGGCATAAACTTCCACCTTGGGACCTGCATTTGTGGTATTCGTACCAGGTATACATCTCCCTCTTCATTTGGTTTCAAATCTGATCCGATTCAGTGCAAGATCGATCCAAAAAAATGCAGTTTTTCAAAACATAGGGAATTTGATTCCCATAAGGATTAGGAAATTTTTGAAATTTCGCCCAGCCATCTACCATGGTTCGGCCATCCATAAAATGGATCTAAACCCTTCCAACAGAAGTATCCCAAAAATGCATAAACAAGTTTACTAGAATTTTTCAAAAGTTGAAGGAAATGAAAAGGTGTTCGAAAGTAACAGATTTATATGCCTTGGATGAAGGGCTACAAGACCCAAAGTTGCCCATGGCCCACATAACTGACTACATTTTGAATGGCTCCCACCCAAGATCCTTTTATTCTCAACTTGCATAAGCATTTAATGGCTACCCCAAAAAACAATTTGAACTAAAAATGCAAAGATGAAACTTGCTTGTTCCAAGATAGAAATATAGGGATTGCTCTGCCACATGAGACAATCTAGAGATTCCCTTTACACATTAAAGTGAGCTCAAGGGGACATCTCCCCCTGAAACTATTGTTATAAATTCTTTGTAGAGAACACTGATGTGGGCCCCACTGTAGTGGTCCCCACTGTGTTCGTAGGATAGTAGTGTAGTTATTTGTTTCAGTTATAGTAGTGTTAGTTTGAGTCAATTTGTTAATTCAATTGTTATTTATTTCAGCTTTTATTTACTTTATTTATTATGTATGTACTAAGGGCAGATGTGTCATTTCCATTATGTACTAAACATAACCTATAAATATTAAGAGAGTGGCGGCGGCAGATCTKTWAGAATYTGTCCCTCCTTTCAACCACTTGTGTTCTCCTGTTTCTCTTCTATTCTCTCTCCTTTCTCTCACTTTTCTTCTGTTTTGTAAACCTAAAACCTATTAGGATTCAAGACTGATTACAGTCTTGATCTACTTTCTTAAAACCAAAGAAGATGAAAATTGAAAATTGGGTTATTTTAAGACAACTTGCATTGTCATTTCCTCATGAACTTGCTACTAATATTTGAAGGTGCTATAAGACAAAAGTCTAACCATATTGAGAACTTTTCAGCATAGTTTCAATGTGCCAAGTTGAAGCTAGGTGACAGGGGGTGCCTTGTCACCTAATCGTCTAGGCAATGAATTTTTTAAAATAAAATTATAAATCCAAGGGTAGCTCCCTAGGTTTCATAGTAATAAGCAATAAGTTTTAACTAATAATTACTATATCCTCATGAAATAAGTATAAACCCCATATCAAAAGATAGAAAATAAACATATTTATAAAAAAGATAAGAAAGGAAAGAAAGCATATAAAACATAAGGGATGAAACCCATTTATCAAAAAAAAAGGATTGAGTCCTTATTTTGGTCCTAGGAAGAAGATGATGAAAAAAAAATACCTATTGATTGTTCTTATGTGTCAATTGGATAAAATCTTCAAGTTATTTCTTACTTATCAATTTGGGTTTTAAAGTCTTAAAGGGTCCAAAACTATTATCACTGATTTGTGTGTCGAGTGAACCCAAACAACTAAAAAACAATAAAAAGAAACTAGTATATGAACTAATTTAGTCCAACAAAATCTATTGTACTACTATTAATAACATAAATAAAATATAAAAATATTATGTGGTGTCTTACATATAAATATGTAGGCTTTTGGGCAAGTCAACCCTCCAAGAGAGCAACTTTTCACCTAGGCGTCACCTTGACAACTATGCTTTCCAGAAGAATATTTAGTTACTGTTTTTTTTTCTTTCAGATCCTGTTCTTTGTCTAGGCAGAATACTACAGAGAAAAGCAAACTGAAATTGGAGGCAATTAGGCACTGAAACAAAATGGAGGCCATAAATAGAAAGAGAAGGATGTCCGTGGACCTCTATGTTATAACTTATAAGTTGAAGCACATACAAAAAACTATAATGATTAACAATTACCTGGCCAAATGGACTAAACAGCTGCCTTAGATCTTTCTCTGTAGCCTCAAAAGCAACATTCCTCACAAGTAATTTTGTTGAGCTTCTATCCTTCTCAGCTTTTTTCAAAACTTGCCCTTTTTTCTTGGCATGGCAAAGTTGCAAAATAAGAGCATGCCCATCTAAAATAGTTCCCTGATATGGAGAATGTTTCGGCTGCCTTAGTTAAGAGGTTACAGAAAGAAAACTTAATGCACAAATAATACAGCTAAGCAGTGCCTTTCTTAAAGACATTACCTGTAAATCCCTACACACATTTGTTGCTGTTTCTACAGAATCAAACTCAATGAAACCAAAACCCATTGAGACATTTTTTCCATTTTTCAGGTGCTTCTTTACCTATGAAAAGAAAAGAAGAAAAGAAAACGCTATGACACCAGAAAAGAATGTGATTGAAACATTATAGCAATGTTTTTGAGAATGCAAAGACTTACTTTGATGCTTAGAATCCTTCCATCCTTCATATTCTCACTAAAATGCTTGGTCAAAGACTCATCAGATGTTTTGAAACTAAGATTTTTCACAAATAGAGACCGTGACTGCTCAAAAAGCAAAAATTAATACATCAATACAAATTAATTAGAAGAAAAGCATTAGTAGTTGACAAATAGCATGCGAAGAACAACTAATCCACTACCATTTAAAACAACCACCAATTACAATAAAATTTAAAAGTAATTAAATCTATTTCCATGCTCAGAAGCAGTGGCACATGCCTTTCAAGGAAGCCTTACAAATTTAAAGACCAGTCATGGCATAAGCACTTTTCTTTCCAATGGATAAGCATTAGCACTTTCTATGCGAACCTCTTTCTCTGATCCAAGAAATGTGAAAATTTTCTTTGTGCTTAATTCCTATATTGCCTTCAAATTTGTATAAAAAATTCACTCCTAAGACCACTTATTGATACCATACTACATGTATTGCCTGATCTCTGGATGAGGAATAGCTACTGCTTTCTTCCCATTTATACCCAAATCCATCATTCATGCAATCATTTTTAGCATAAAACAAACAAGAAAAAAAAGATGCCAAATGCTAAGATTTATGACTTTCCTTTTACAAATATAATCAGCACTCTATGGTGTTTTTTATGCCATTTGTTTACATGAAACATGACAACTGAGATCCACAAAACTCCAATCAGTGGAGATTTCTCGTGATAAATGAGAAGATTAATCATCTTAAATTTTAATAAATAACAAAAACCTGGATTGATCAAAGAATTTCATAAACATCCACACAGAGCAAAAACTTGAAATGATGAAGTTACAGAAAGAGAAATGGTAATTTTATACCTTCCATAATGAAATTTGGCTTCTAGCCAGTTACACCAAATAATACATTGTGGACAAGTATGATATATTGGAGCTATATGTGCAAACTGATCAACACAGTGGCCATGTCTGCCTTATAAGACCAAAAGTTCAGGTTACCCACAAACTAGCAGTCTAAGGGAAGCTAAGATTAGTCAGAAAGCTAACCTATCTACAGTACAAGCAGAAACAATAAAAAGAACAATTAAGAATTACATTTTTCTACTATTCAAAAAGGTGTAGGCTGCATTTATGAAATTAAGATTACTGAGGTTCAAGATCATTAATGGTAAATTGGATAAAGAAATTACACTCAAGACAAAAACTTCTTGTATCTAGACAGTCACTTGCACTCCTATATTACAAGGAGGAAACTTGCATAGAATAAAGGCTTGCTCATGGAGTTTTTTAGTAGTACAGTTAAAATTAAAATGCATTAGATAAAAAAGAGAAAAAGAAGCTATATATAAGCAGCATGTCCCCCAAAAAAATATAAAAGTGAATAGCAGGAAGCAATGACAAGGACCCCCTGCACGCCAAGAAAACCCATGATACCAACTCCAAACTCATCCCCAGTGTAGAACTGAAGTTTTTTTTTTCTTTTTTCTTTTACAAATAGAGCTTAAGATTAACCCATCCCAAAATTGCCACTCTGACTATAGCAGCCAAACCCTCAATATGACTTAGACCTGAAACCTACAGTCATGTATTTTTTCTTTCAGAAGACCCAGTTATTTCCTCGCCTTCCCACCCTTCCCCCTTCCCCTTGTGCTTATAAAGTGCCTCTTTCAACTTTCAAGCTTCCTACTGTCTCTTCCTCTCTTTCCCTGCCTTAGGTTCCAGCATATCACAATCATGATGATTGCATGCCTCTTTATGAATCTCTCCCTTCTTGCTTTTTGTTTTTTTGTTTTTTTTTTTTTTGAAGAAAGTTAATTGCATTAATAATTATTGAAGAAAAAAATTAAATTGTAGCACCTCTTTACAAACCAAAGACCATCTGCCTTCTTTTCCTTGTTACCTCTACCTTCTTCAAAACTGATATCATTGTACTATGGTCTTCTCCTCTTGGTCTTCTAAACATTCATTCATCAAATCCAACCACCCCCTTCTTCCAAACCCAAGAAAAAATGAATTCAATGATCATGCCAGTTTCCATCAAATCCATGACTAGGGGGATACACCTAATCAAAGAGACAGCTGCATCCAAGACCACCTCATCATCATCATTCAAATTTTTATTCCAGCCACTTCAACTAACTAATTTAGGACACAATTCCCACAAGAACCAAACCCCCTACCATTATCTTTCATGAGGGGATGCACCCTCAGTACCCCCAACTCTGTTAACACAGATTGCAACAAGTACCCCACCTCCAGTGGTTGTCGCCCATATTTGCTAATGTTGCTCATTCATTCATCCTAATAAAAGAGATTTTTAAAAGACAAAGTTATAAAACCTCTTTTTATAGGGATTAAGAATTTAAGACCCTGATATAGACTTGTTTGGGGTTGCCTCGAGGGGCTTGGTACAAAGGCGGCTTGTAGAATCAGGAATGCATAATGTTTAGCATCACATTAGCTAATTGAAGTAACGCAATTGGGAAAAAAATAAAGAGATTAAGAGTTTAGCATCGCTATGTTTTATGTATTTTAATTTGACATAATAGGTTTCTTTAAAACACTTATTTTAAAACTGAAGTTTATATTTTTAATTAATAATGTCTTTAATATTTTTAATATTTTACATTTTTTGAACTTTATTGCATTTTTTTTGTATTTTTTTTATTTTTTTTTGCATTTTTGTGCCTTGATTCAGAAAGGTAAGTGCCTCACCTTGCACCTCGGGTGCAAAATGGCCCTTGCGCTTTTTTAGCACCTTGTGCTTTTAAAACACTGTTTTAAACCTACCTGAGCCCCTATGATGTCACCCCATCTTCAACTGCTGCCTCACAGTATGCTCATTAAGGATTGCCTAGACTCTAGGCATACCTTGTTTCTTTGGATTATTGGTCTAGCTTATAGTCACCCCTGTCAGATCTGATTTGTACCTTTTCTCTGCTTTATAGATCAGTTTCAAGATTAATTTTTTGGTTGGTTGAAAAACAAAAGCATAAGAAAATTGAAATTTTCTAAGAATTTGGATGCATACACAAAATCATCACATTTCTAAGGGCCCAAACTACTTTTAACAAAAAACCATTTCATATCCCGGTATCAGGAAGTTGCATTTTCTAATTGAGAAGCTCAATGTGTTAGAAGAGACCAACTTCCCTGATGACCTAAAGCATGAGAAAATCACCTTTTTTCCCATTATATAGTCAATAAGTTGACTACCTAGATGTATAAGTACCCTAGCATCCCACTAGATAAATACAACACCACTAGTTGATTGCCTGAATACCACAATCTACCAATTTTTTTATCAATTACAACAATCTAACCATTTTTTTATCAATTATCACAATCCAACAATTGAGACCGAGTCATTAGGCAACCATAGAGTTGTTAGTTCACTGGGTCCTTTCCACATGTTTTTGTTTCAACAGGTAAAGGAGAGGAAAAATGCATTCAATCAATAATATATGAGAAAGGTACCAGCTAGTTTGCTGGTAAAGTCACTATCTAGTTCAGTGTTTTAAAAGCGCAAGGCACAAAAAAAGCGCAAGGTCCATATTGCGCCTAAGGTGCAAGGCGCAAGGTGAGGAGCATGCCTTTTTAAGCAAGGCGCAAAATTACAAAAAAAATAATAATGATAAAAAATAAAAAAAAAAACTAAAAAATAAAAAAAGAGTCAGAAAATTCAAAAAAATGCCAAAAATTTTTAAACATTATGTTAATAAAAAAATAAACTTAAATTTTAAAATAAATGTTTTAAAAAACCTATTATCTAAATTGAAATACACAAACATAGCATGTAAAGCGTATTAAAATGAAAATTTAAAAATAAAAGCAAACATATAAAGCATTTTCAAGTATGTAAAGCCCACAATCTCTTTTTTTCCTTAATTGCATTGCTTCAAATAGCTAATGTGATGTAAAACATATTGCATTCTTGATTCTATGAGTTGCCTTTGTACCATGCTGATAAAGTTCAGACCTGCACTAGAATTCTGTTAAAATTAGAGGAAGATTAGAGGAGATAGAAAAGAGAAGAAGAGAAGAAGAGAAGAGAAGAGAAGACAGGTGAAGAAGAAAACTGGTTCGAACAAGAGAAAAAGTCACTCTCTAGTCGGCTAGGTTATATTTATATGTTTCTATTAGAGTAAAACAAAAAGACTATTATGTCGCAACTTAAGTATGGGACACATCACTTAACATAAACATTATACTTCAGCTTAAATATAAATAGGACTAAACTACCCCTATATGGTCGACACTAACACTCCTCAAGCTGGTGAGTATATATCATATAGTCCCAGCTTGTTACATATGTAGTCCACTCTTCCCCGACTTAACCCTTTGGTGAATAAGTGTACCCATTGACTTCCTGTGTTAACATATGCAATATCTATAACTCCACTAAGCACCTTCTCTCTCACAAGGTGACAGTCAACTTCTATATGCTTTGTTTTCTCATGAAACACTAGATTAGAAGAGATGTGGACTGCAGCTTGGTTATCACAATAAAGCTTCATTGGGGTGTCAATGGAATATCCCATCTGTAGAAGATTCTTCAACCATACTAGTTCACAAGTGGTAATGTGCCATGGCTCTGTATTCAGCTTCTGCACTGCTTTTTGCCACAACTGTCTGTTTCTTACTTTTCCATGTCACCAAATTACTCCCAAGGAAGGTACAATAACCTGTAGTGGACCTTCTATCAGATAGAGAACCAGCCCAATCAGCATCAGTGTATTCCTCTATTTCAAGATTTCCTCCACTCTTGTATATCAAGCCACGACCAAGAGCTCCCTTCAAATACCTTACAATCCTTAGAACTGCATCCCAATGTGGAACCCGAGCTTTCTACATAAACTGACTCACCACACTAACTGCAAATGAAATATCTGATCGAATAATGGTTAGGTAGTTTAGCTTACCCACCAACTGCCTGTACCTTCCAGGATCTTCAAACTCCTCACCCATATCACTGCTCAACTTGGTATTTGGTTCCATAAGTGTTTCAGCCGGTTTGGCTCCTAAGAATCCTGTCTTCTCCAAGAAATCAAGAACATACTTCCTCTAACACAAGTTAATACCATGCTTAGACCTTGCTATTT